TTCTTTCTTTCTTCTTTTTAAATTTTTTTTTGTTTTTAATTTTTATAATCTTTGCCCCTGCTTTTGGCTCATTTAGTTCAATTCTTTCTTTGAACAAAAAGAACCTGGATGGGGGCCGGGGAGATAGCTCAGTTGAATAAGCACTTGTCTGGCAAGCGCAAGGGCCTGAGTTCAATCCTCGGTTCCGCAAAAAAAAAAAAAAAAAAAAAAAGAACCTGGAATTAAACTTCAGAAGGAGAGGGGACCAACCCTAAATTTGGTAACATTTATTTGATGAGTTTAAAAGGAACTATCTAGCCCTGCCCCTGCACTTGCTGAACTGGCAACTGAGTCTGGGCGTGGTAGCACGTGCCTGTAATCCCAGCAGTGAAAACAGGAATATCACTACAAGTTCGAGCTGCCTAGTGAGACCCTCCACAAAAAAAAAAAAAAAAAAAAAAAGAGCTACCTACAGGCAAGCACTTATTCTACTGAGCCATCTCCCTGGCCCCATTTGATCCATTTTGAGTTGAATTTTCTACATGCTCAGAGATAGGGATTTTGCTTCAATCTTCCACAAGTGGACGTCCAGCTTACGTCTTCGTCATGTTTTTCACCCCTTTGTCAGGGATATGATGGTTGTAGTTGCATGGCTTTGTTTGTGTCCTCTATTCTTTTCTATTGGTCTAAATGTCTATTTTTGAGCCAATACCATGCTGTTTTTATTATTATGGCTCAATAGTATAATTTGAATTTTGGTATTGTTTTCAGCCTTGCCATTTTTGCTTATGATTACTTTGGCTCTTCTGGATTTCCAGATGAATTTTCAAATTATATTTTCCAGTTGCTTTTTTGTGTGTGTGGAACTGGGAATTGAACTCAGGCCCCTGTGCTTGCCAGGCAAGTGCTTATTCCACTGAGTCATCTCCCTGGCCCCTGTTTTCCAGTTTTTGAAGGATTTCATTCTTATTTCGATAGGGATTACATTGAATCTGCAGATCATTTCTGGTAATATGGCCATTTTAATAATATTAGTTTGACTGGTCCATGAAAGTGGGAAGCCTTTCCATCTTCTTTTGTCTTCTGAAACAATTGTCAATGCAACAATATTGACAGTTGTGTCCTTTAAGATATAAGCCCTGATGAATAGATTAATGTTTCTTTTGTGGAACTGGGGATTAAACTCAGGCCCTTGCGAGTGCTTATTCTACTGAGCCATCTCCCCGGCCCCTTAATGGTTTTTTGTTTTGCTTTGTTTTGTTTTTGCGGAACCGGGGATTGAACTCAGATCCTTGTGTTTGCCAGTCAAGCCCTTATCCTATTGAGCCATCTCCCTGACCCTGTTAATGTTGTTTTTATGGCAGTAAGTTTCTGGTAAATGTTGAGATGGGCCCTGTCACCATGCATATATACTTCCTTGCTACCTGTATCCCTTCCATCTTGAATTTCTCTGTCTCAAGATATGAGCTAGGGGGTTGGGGGGATGGCTCAGCAGAATAAGAGGTTGCCTGGCAAGCTCAAGGTCCCGAGTTCAATCCCCACTTCCTGAAGAAGAAGAAGAAGAAGAAGAAGAAGAAGAAGAAGAAGAAGAAGAAGAAGAAGAAGAAACCATTCACCTAGTAAAGGGCCTGAGATGCAATTTAACCAGTTTTCTAGCTTAGTTTCCTGTAAATCTTACAAGTTGAAGAACAATGTTAACAGCTTGAGTTCCAATTGGTCCTGTGTGTGTGTGTGTGTGTGTGTGCGCGCGCGCGCGTGTGTGTGTGTGTGTGTGTGTGTGTGTGTATTTGGTACAGGTTCTCACTACGCACTTCTGACTTGTAGTGATCCTCCTGTCTTCAGCCTTCCCACCGGGGTGGGGCCGGTGTGTCATGTAGTGCCAAGGATTGAACCCTGGTCCCTGCGCTTGCCTAAGCAGGTGCAAAGTCTGCTGAGTTATATCATCAGCCCCCAGTTGGTCATTTTGAATCCACAGAGCCACCTATGATAGGTAACCCCTACTTTAAGTAGTTTCTGTGCTCTGTTTATCTACAGTTAGCTCTAGATTAGGGGGATTGGCCACAAACATAGGACTCCTTGGAAATCAAGAGCTATATTCTCTCTGCTTTTTTTTTCTGGCGGGACCCGGGATTGAACTCAGAGCTTGCGCTTGTCAGGCAAGCCCTTATTCTACTGAGCTATCACCCCAGCCTTATGTTCTCTATTTCCTATAAAACTCCTTTAGGGCTGGGAAGATAGCTCAGTAGAATAAGCACTTGTCTGACAAACGTAGGATCCTGAGCTCAATCCCCTGTACCGCAAAAAAAAACAAAAACAAAAACAAACAGAAAAAACCCTCCTTTAATTTCCTTCTTTGGCTTTGGCTTCAATCAGTGAGATTCATGGAACCACAAGCTTGGTACTTAACAATATCATTGTTATCCTGGGTTTGAATTCTGTACCTTTCAATGCCTTTGTGTCTCTACTTCTAATACTGGAAGACTGGATAAAATCAGTGTTTTTATTTTTATTTTTTTAAATTGAACTCAGGCCCTTGAGCTTGCCAGGCAAGTGTTTATTCTACTGAGCCATCTCCCTGGCCCCAGTGGTTTTTTTTGGGTATTTTTTGGCAGAACCAGGGATTGAACTCAGGTCCTTGCGCTTGCCAGGGAAGTACTTATTCCACTGAGCCATCTCCCCAGCCCCAGCCCCAGTGTTTTTGTTTTTATATTATTTATTTTGGCAGAACTGGGAATTGAACTCAGGACCTTACACTTGCCAAGGAAGAGTTTGTTCCACTGAACCATCTCCCTGGCCCCTAAAAATCAGTATTTTTAAACTTGTACATCAGAATCACATGGGAAACCTCTAAAAGTACAGATGCTTTATCACTAGCTCCAAGAAAAATTCTTAGTGTTTTGGATGGGCCTTTTGTATAGATATTTATTACATCTCCCAAGTAAATCTATGTGTAATTCTATGAGTTGATCCTTTCCAGGAAACAATTACACAGATATGTTCAAAAAGACTTGTAAAAGATGGGCTGGGGAGATGGCTTAGTGGAATAAGTGCTTCTCTGGCAAGTGCAAGGGCCTGAGTTCAATCCCCGGTTCCCCCCCCCCCCCGAAAAAATAAAAGACTTGTGAAAGAAGTCATTAAGAAGAGGATAGAGGAAAGGACCAAAATGCAGTGTGTATTTTTTCTGTTGCTCTCCATTTTAAGTTCCTGTTATTCACCATGTGCCCCATAATTTTCCAACCTTCATCAAGCATCTCAATTTGCTTTGCACGCACTATTTCCTTTTGGGTCTCCATGTTTTATAATGACATATCTCAAAAGCTTGAAGGTTAAGGGGAGAGCAGATTCTAGAGAGAAATAATCTGCAGGTTAACATTTGTGGTTCATCATTTCTATTCTTGGCCGGTCCTTTTCATAATTCATAACAACCACTCTCAGGCTCCCATGCTCACTCTATGAAAAGGCACGATATTTTCCAGTCTTCTCTGCCTTCAGGCATCCTTGCTTCTGCTATGCTTCTGTCCCAGACTAGAGGAAAGAAAGGTAAGCCATCATTGACACAAGACTTATGCAACCTAATATGAATTTCTGCTATGCCAAGTTTAGATCTCAAAGAGTCTGAAAGAAATCTGAGATGTCCTGGCAAAGGTCTTAAGTAAGCAGAGAAAGTTAAGAGAGAGTAAAGCACCTGATTAGAGCTGGCCAGATAGTTCAGTGGATTAGAGCGCCTACTTAGGCAGAGTGCAGCGGCCCAGGTTCGATCCCCGGTGTGCCATGCTGGCCCTGCCACCAGGGCACACTGAGATGGTGATTGAGACTGGGCATGGTGGCATGCACCTGTAATCCCAGCGCTTCAGAGGCTGAAAAAAGGCGGATCACTACGGATAATCTACGTAGTGACCCTGTACCAAATACATAAAATAAATAAAGCAGCCGACTGAGGGCTGGTGAGATAGCTTAGGCAAGTTTAGGCAGCAGGGACCACGACTCAATCACCCCCCCCCCACCATACCGCACCAGCCCCACCCCCAGGGCAGGCTGAGCCAGCCACACTCCTCGCATAGTGGTGCACACCTGTAATCCCAGCACTGGGAAGGCTGAAAGGAAGAGGATAACCAAGAGTCTGAGCTGCGTAATGAGATCCTGCAACAACCAAATATATTAAGACTTGCCTGACAAGCGCAAGGGCCTGAGTTCAATCCCTGGTTCCTGGTTCTGGAAAAAAAAAAAGAAGCTGGGGAGATAGCTCAGTAGAATAAGTGCTTGCCTGCCAAGTGCAAGGGTCTGAGTTCAATCCCTCATACTGAAAAAAAAAAAAAAAA